CCCCCCCCCCCCCTCTCCCCTCCCAGAAACGCCATGCACCTATGCTAGGGGCATGATGGACTGCACAGCACGGCACAAGCAGCGATCGACCAGTATCATCGGTACCTGGCCAATCAGCCACAAACCGTGCCATTCCTCCGCCCATCCACTCACACACACTCACAGATGCACGCCATGGATGGATACATACATAGATACATACATGCGTAGACGCGACGCACAAGAGAGGCACCGGGCGGCAATGACAGAAACGCTGCCCTGCCACCCCTCTGCTCCCTCCTTCCCTCTCTCGTCAGCTCGCCCGTTCGGGCGTCTTGTCTATCTGTGGCTCGTGATAGTCTATGGATGGATGGTACACACCACCGGCACCCACGCCACGCACTGCACACAATCCACACAATGCAGCCGTGCCATGCCACGCCATGCCATGCCGTTCCACCAGACTAAAAAAGTCGTCACGTCAGTAAGTCATTCATTGAGTCAGCGTTAGGCAGGTAGGCAAGCTGGGCCGCCGCTACCTTCCCCACCGCTCTCGGGGAAGTCGCGACAGACACAGCCAGACGTATACATACAGACAGAAAGACGACCGGCCAGCCAACTGGTCTGCTGGCCAGCCGTGGATACAGTGATCGAGTGACTGTGGATGGATGGATGGATGATGAACGGGCAGCCAGACGGACAGACGGACAGGCAGGCAGGTTGGCAGGTTGGCAGGCAGGCATACATACACTCATCCAGACGGACGGACAGACACCTTGACTCACCTCTCTCCTTAACCACAAATAGCGGCCGGACGGACACTCACACCCGTTTGGCACTCAATCACTCATTAACACAAAACACACAACCGACACCATACGCCCACACACACACACACATGGCCCACGGGACGGCAGATGACTGACGCAACGGCATGGCACGACGCGGCCCCTACGTACGTACGTTGGTACGTATGTATATGCCACATATGCTATATACCATTCCCTCCCTCCCTCCCTCCCATCCCTCCCAGTCAGTCCCAGATTCCTAGCCATCCAGCTAGCTAGCTCGCTAGGTCCCTAGCTACACATAACTACAACCATCCGACCAACCAAGCACACCATGATCACCTCCCCCCTCCCTCGGTGGGTGTCTCGGGGTGTCGCGGAGCAGCACCGCCCTCTTGCTCCTCCTGTGCAGTGGACTGCATGTCCAGGGCCGCGTCGGCCGACTGAAAACCCGTCGCCTCACACTCAGGCACCGCCGACGGGCCCTCCCGCCTGGCGTCCTGCATCCTCGGCTGACCGATGACCCCAAAGCCGACGTGGCCCTGCTTGATCCTCTCGAGCCTCGAGTGTCCTGGCTCCGACACCTGTGGGCGGAGTGGCAGCGACAGCCGCATGGCGGCGTGGTGCACGAACGTGGGCAGCGCGAGAGCGCCTTCATCAAACTCGACACTCTCGCGCCGGTTGGGCAGGGCCGCCACGGCCGCTGCTGTGGTGCCCTCGGTGTCGCCCCCCGCAATGGGCCCGAATGTGCCTGTGGTGCCCTCAGGCCCCTCGGCGGTGCTCAGGCTGGCGATGGAGCCCTCGCTGTGGGAACGCCGCAGGGTGAGAGCCGTGCCCCTGACACGGGCAGTGGGGCTGCTGCCGTCCATGGCCGCACAACCCGTGACGTTGCCGCACGGCCCGCCAAACATGAGGGAGGTGGTGGTGGGTCCGTTGGCCGAGCCGCCGCTCTGGTAGGACGTGTGGCCCTCACTCCGGCCGGTCACACCGCCCGCAGGGCCATCGGTGGAAGACGGTAGCAGCGACAAAGGCACCGTGCTGTGCTTGGGAGTGAGCCCCTGCTGCTGATGGAGGGACAGCTGGTGCGGCCCCACGAAGGGCAGACGGCCGACGGGGTGGATGGGCGGGGTGGGTGGGTCGACCATGGCTGGGAGGGAGGTGGGCGGGGCGCCCTTGTGTGGGAGTGAGGGTGGGCTGGTTCCCATGGTGTCGAAGGGCTCGTTGCTCATGGGGGGCGTCATCATGGCCACCGCACTGCTGGCAGGCGCGCGGGTGGATGAATGATGGCTGTCACCGCCCACTGACGACGCCGTGCGACCCGTGGCAGCGTCCTGGTCGGTTGCTGGCGACACGCGGCCCCCGCCGATGTTGAGGTCGCGCAGCTCCCTGCGTGTGAGTGGCACGAGGAAGGGGGCGTAGATGATGGGGACCCTGGGTGGGTACTGGAAGGGCGGTGCGTCCTCCTCGGAGACGCCAGGGGGCAGGCGGGAGACGAAGTACCGGTACGAGGCCTGGGCGTGCCAGCTCAGGTAGAGTATGTTGAGCTGCGGGGGCGCCTCGAACAATAAACGTGTCTTCTGGTAACTCTCCTCATCTACCAACTGCAGCCAGCGACACAAACACACACACGAGAGATAGATGGCCACTCGACTGACTTGTGGATTGTGGCAGGATGTGTCGTGTTTGCGTACCTTTGGTGGTTCGAGTATTTTGGTGTCTGGTAGTGGCGGGAACCGCACCGACTGGACGACGAGGTGGTTGTGGGGGTCGACGAACAGGCGACACAGGTCGCTGAAGGCCGTCGAACCCAGCAGGTTGCGGAGCTTGCTGAACTGAAACACGCTCGGACACAGCGACACGCGAAACCTGATAGATAGCCATACACAGACAGACAATACACACAGAGAGATGGATGGAGTGAACAATGTTGGTCGATCGATGCGCATCTTGGTATAGCTATATGCTGTAGGTACCTACCTTCCGACGAGTCGCTTTTTGAGTTGTGAGAGGAGCAGGCCCCTGGGGTTGTCGAGTAGGAGGCTGTGGACGTACCGCCGCGCGGCCGATATGTCTGTGACGAAGGGCACGCCGCCCTCGGCCTCCTCCAACTCCTCCAGGTTGCCGCCCAGCACTGCAAATGACGCACCGATCTTGCCCTTGCACGCACCGATCGGCTGCAGAATACTGATATCCATACACACACACACACAGACAGACACGCAAGAAACAAACGGTGAGAAGGAGTGTTTCACCGGTCTGATGTGTAGTGTCGTGTAGTGTGGGATGCCTGCCTTACTTGTTCTCATAGGCGAGTAGTCCTTTGGCGATGGCGAGTTGTACGATGTGGCAGACCCTGCCGAGGCTGAGGTCGTTGAGACAGGCCGGGCCGTGCTGCTTGAGCTCCTTGGCCATCCCGTACCGCCCGCCCTTGAACTGGTACGGCCGCAGGCCGGGAGGGCCCATCGTGTGCGGGAACGCCGCCGCTGCCGCCGCCTGGCCCTCTGTCAGCCGCACGGCGTGGTAGGTGCCCGTCAGCATCAGCTGGCAGAGGTATGACGACAGGGCCTGCCACAGCGAGGTGTCGTAGGGGTCGTCTGGGCTCTTGGCGTCGACCCATCCCTTAGACCATGCAGGAGGGGGGTCGAGCTCGACGCTGTGCTGACCGCCGCGGGGGTCCCGGATGACTCGGTAGCCCGGCAAGGCCTCGTAACACAACAAAAAATTCGACAGGATCATGTCCGACGCGCCCCTCTCCTTGAGCCGCCGATGCAGGTCGTCGCTGGTCGGCTGGATCTCGTCACGATACAGACTCTCGACAGCGTCACGAAGGAGCTGCTGGTCGACCGGGGTCAACGTGAGGGTGTTGCTGCTGCTGGCAGGGGGCGCCTGTTGCTGCTGCTGCCGCTGCTGTTGGTGGGGTGATGGCTGCTGCAGCTGCGACTGGGGTGGAGGTGTGGGTGCGGCGGGCGGCAGGGAGGGCGACATGGGTGGGGGAGGAGGCGGCTGGGTGGCCATCATGCCACCGCCACCACCGGCAACAGCAGCGGTCTGTGTGAATGAGGGCGGTGAGGTGATGTGGTGGTAGTGGTGGGGTGGGGAAGGGCCTCCCGCCGTCACCGACCCAGGAGGCCTCCGCCCGCTGGGGTACTGACGGGATGAGGAGGACATCACAAACGACGCAGAAAAAGACGGGGACTCCACGATGACGTCAACGACCTGACAGACAGACGGATCAGACAACCCGACGCAAGCAGAGGCAGCGAAACGACAACCGATGAGGCAGGCTGATCCGACCCTCTGAAGTCAGTCCTGCTGCTGTCCTGTCGGTAGGTATGCCTAGCTCGTGTAGCGTTCCTTCCTGTCTGTTCTGTCTTCCTACACGTCACGGGTGTTCTGTCTGCGATTGGATCGGGGATGACGTCACCACGACGCCACCACCTCTCGCCTGACCTCCTGTCTCACCCACTTCCCTCCCTGCGTGATGACGTGTGCCTGGAAGACAGACCTTCCTGCTTCTCTCTGGCAACGCACCCCCTCCCTCCCGCACTGTACGTGCCCGTGTGTGTGGCTCACCTTGGTAGGAGGACTGGGAGTGAGGTTCTTGACCGACAAGACCGCTAGACAACCAGAGGGGGAACACACACGAGGCGAAGTTGAGGGTCAGACTCTCTGCGCCGTGTCGTTTGACGCAGTTGACTGTCGCTGAGATATTGGACACGCCTTTTTTCTCTTCTCCTTTCCCTCTCGTTTTCGCACCTCCTTCGAATTGAGCGAGCTAAGCCAGTTAGGGACTTCGCGAAACGATTCTAACCCTAGACCCAGAAACCCTAAGAATCGACCCGTATCTATTTCTTTCCGTGCAACGGCGATCAGCAATCATGACGTCGACCGTGCGGTTTGAGGGTGAGGAGATCTTCGCAGCCGCCCGCTGCAATTGATCATCGTCATTACTCGTGTCCATCTGCCTGCAGATGCGTTGCGACAGTTGACGGGCCTTCTCGGCGATGGCGGCGGGAGTGTGGATGAGGCCCGTCTGGCGGAGGTGCTGGGCGTGGTGCTCGACCAGGAGGTCATCAACGCCGTGTCGGCCTCCCTCGACCCGCCGCAGCTGCTGCAGAAGTCCTACATGGTGTGGAACCTCACTGTCAGCGCCGGCAAGGACAAATCATCACTGGCGCCCATCAAAGAGGCACAAGGTGGGGGGGTGGAGGAGAACAGAGGGCGGGCAAATGGGATGGAGGGGTGCCGCGTGTTTCTCAGTTCGAGATCTGGCGGCCAGGCTGGCGTTCACGGCCCTCAAACGCAGCCCGGACGGGTTCTCACACAAGTCGGTCAAAAGGCACATGGATGGATGGATGGCTGAAGGGCTGGCTCCCTCATGGTCTGTGTGTCACGTGTGTCAGGGACTATGTGAATGTGGTCCGCATCCACGCCAAGACGGGTCAGGTGTTCCTCCAGCTCCGCATATTTCAAGAGGCAGAACTCTCACTCGAACGCGCCACCAAGGTCAACCAGACAGACACACCTCCCGCCAGCACTGTCCATGCACACACACCACACCACACGACCGATGGATGGCTGATGAATGATGTGTCTCGTCTTGTCTGGAGGTAGGTCTGGGATGAGTTGCGTGGCAAGTTCAGTGCGTCGGACATCAGCGCGGTTCTGCCCGACGACAAGAAGGCAGAGACCATCTCGTCCATACTCAAGAGGTAAAGAGCAGCACACAACCCGCTACAGCGTGTCTGTGGGTGTGGATGTGTGTGGATGTGTGTGGATGTGTATGCGGATGTGTGTGGATGTGTATGCGTGTCAGCCGTTCTGAGTTGGCTTTTCAGATGGACCAGCCGGAGGCCGGGCTGCGATACCTATTCTCGGTAGACATGCAGGCTGCTGGCTGGAGCATTGGGTGCTGCGGGGGGCGGGGCACATTAATGTGTGTCCTTGGGTGGTGTGTGGTGTGCAGGTCAAGGACTTCATCGGCTCTGCACCGCTCGAGGTCCGTTCGACACACATACGCTCATCATACAGCAATGCAGAACAGCATGTCCGTTCTCAATCCCAATCCCACCTTACCCTTTCAGATTGAGAAGTTCTTCAACGTCTGTTTCAACCATGGCAAGAGCCTGTTCAACCGCTCCAGAGCTGACCTGGTCACTCACCACCCACCTCAACACACACAGACAGACAGCCTTAGAGACTGCCCACTCCATAGATGGCTTACTTCTTGTGTGTGTGTGTGCAGGCCCTGCAGGTGATCGATCTGGGCCTCAAGGCGCTGGATCACCTGAGTGCTGAGGTGCGCAAGGATCTCGCCCGGCAGGAGGCGGTGGGGCTGCGACTCGCGGCCGCATGCTGCCTGACGGCCGGCTCGCGTGGCCTGGCTGTGGAGCGGTGTCGCAAGGCGTCCTCTCTCGAACCGCCCGACACACCCACGTTTCTGCGGTCGCTGTTCCTGCTGCTCAAGTGCCTCACCAAACCCATCGAAAAAAGCGCATCGGACGGAGAGAGGTAGATATTCACATTCACATGCACATGCACCGACGCTTCTCTGCTGTGTGTCCATCTCCATGTGTGTGTGTGTGTGTGTGTGTGTGTGTAGCATGACTGAGGAGCCTTCGTCCCTCGCACCCAGTGGGGAGGTCGAGGAGCTCATCGAGTAATGCACTGCGCACACACACATACTGGTGGTTGGGGATGCGCGACACAGACGGCATGAAATGTACGTAAATCGCGTGTGGATGGTGTCTGTCTGTCTGTGCGTGTTCAGGCGCATATTGTGTCACGGCAGCCTGGTGTCGGACACTCAGTTGGTGTCTCAGCTGATTGATTTGCTGACGGAGTCTCGCCAGCACCGCCTCATCCAGAACGTGTTCATGCGCATGACGGCGCTCTTCAAGAGCACCAACCCAGACTGTCTTGGGTGGGGGGGCGCACACAGCCATCCATGACCATGACATGTGCGTGGTTTGCCTTCCTCCATGTACTGTATGTGGTATACGTGCTGTGCTGTGCTGCCCACAGGAAGGTAGTCTTGTCGTGGTGGCGCTTCCTGTTGTGTGAGATCTCCGTTTCCAAAGACGACACCCCACAAGTGAATGGGCAGACGGGATGGGTGGGGCACGGCGGGCCACCACACACGCTCCCTCCTATGGTGTATGTCAGGTGCAGGCGTACCTGCAGGACGAGATCGCAAGAGTGCTCGACCTCAGTGACTCACTCGCCAAGTAACGACATCGTCGCATAGAACGGGATACACCGTAGGTGTCCTATATGTGTGTGGATGCAGGCAGGCGATACTGAAGGCGGAGCATGTGTCTGAGATCGTCGAACTCGTGTGGAACCTGGGAGTCGAACTGGTACGTACGTGTGCATCCACAGGGGTTATGTGTGACGATGGATGGTCAGTCTGTGTGTGTGTGTGTGTGTCAGGTGAAGGATGAGAAGATGACCGAGGCGGAGGCCATCTTCAAGGCCGGACTCAGCATCGGTACACACACACACACACACACACACACATCGGTACCTACACATACAGAGAGAGAGGAGGGGACAGACCTACCAACACAGAGTCCTATCACCACCCCCTTCTCGTTTGTGTGTCTTGTGTGTCTTGTTCTCCTTGTTGCCAGTCCCCACACACGACGCAGCCACAAAAGGTGGCCATACACACTTCTGATTGGCTCATCTCATCTTGTGTGTGTGAGTTGTCATCTGCTGGATGCAGTGTCGTTGTATCGCGTGTTGGGTTCGATCCAGCTGCGGAGTGGCGACAGCGGCAAGGCCAAAGAGTGGCTGAGCAAGGGACAGCAGCTCGACAAACATGACTTCGCGACGGCCGTACTCACCTTCTACGCCTCCCTCGACTCGCCCACCGACAGAGACGCCGCACTCAAACACATATTCCAGCTGCCGCAACTCGACCAGGTCAGGAACATGCACTCGTGCAGGCCACTGCAGAACGGTGTGGCCATGTCTCTCTGCCTGTGTGTGCCTCAGCGTGCGATTGTGAGCATATTGGACTTCTGCATCCAGAAGGAGAACGAAAACGCCGCACTGCTCGTGATGGTAGACAGGGAAAGGGAGGGAGGGAGAGAGGGAGAGAGGGAAGGAGGGAGGGAGGGACGGAGAGTGGATGCTGCTTGTGTGTGCGTAGGAGTCCCTCATCTGCTACCTTGTCGGAGCACCTGGTCAGCCAGCTAGACACGGACACATCCACTCAGACCAGTACATATCTATACCCTGCAGTGACTGACATCGAATCGCTTGACGTCGAGGGACTCGACGCGTCCAAGTTCTCATTTTCTGACGACATCTGTCTCCTCGAGTGCGTCAAGAACGCCACCAAACTAGCCAAGATGTCAGACAAAAGGTAAGGAAGCACACACCAAGGGACGGCCGAACATGTACACAGAAAGACGTGGTCGTCGTTTTCATTTGTGCAGTCCCAGTCACCTGCAAAAGCTCATTGGTCTGGCGGGTCGCATAGCCACTGAAATGGGCAAGCGCAAGGAAGGTACACACACAATACACGACACGGATCAGGCATTATCTGCCCGCATTCGCGTGAGTGTGGGATGTCATGCAGATGGTGGTGCGTCGTTGAAGGAGGACGACCTGCGATTCTTCTTCAGTGTGTCGTGGAACGTGTCGCGTGACCTCACGGACCAGTACGAGCTGCAGCGTCTGCTGCTGCGGGACGGCCGGGTGCTCCTCGACCTCATGCAAGACAACATCAACAACGCTGACGATCGCAAACTCGTATGAATGCACACAGCAGCGCAGCAAGGGAAAAGGGAAAAGGGAAACACAGCCATGTGTCTTCTGCAGTCGCTCATTGTCGAGATGGCCGTATCAGCACACGAAGGTCACGGTGCTCTTCCCCCACAAACCCACCCTCTCTTCGCCTGTGTGTGCTGGTGTATCCGTGCATCCATCGTATCATGCAGGTCGTTCGTACCCGTCGGGTGACGGCAGCCGCACGCGTGCCTTCCGGCGAGTGATCGACTTGCACTCGAGTGTCATGGCCAGCATCACCAAGTGCCTGCAACTCAAGTCAAACGAGCCAACCCGCCCGGCTGCCGACAGAGTCCGCAATGCCCAGACATATATATAGAGAGAGAGAGAGCTATATACCCGCGCTGCGTCTCCTGTCTCGTTGTTCAGTCGTATCCGTTGGTCACGTTGTTGAAGTTTGAGGCGATGGCAGAGGTGCACAGGGGCAGCACCGACAAGGCCCGTGTGCCGGACGACATGGACGTGGACGGGAATAGCGACACCAACAGGGGCGACAGTGACGTCAACAACAACATCACACAAGAGCACATCCTCGCATTCGTGCAGGTGAGTGGGGTGGACGGTGGGATGGCGAGACACATATGTCTATACGCGTGTGTGTATATGTATGTGTGTGTGTGTGTGTGTGTATCCAGGAGTTGGCGTTGGATGGTAGTTTGGCGAGCAAGGTGTGGGAGATCATGGCGGGGCAGGCCATCAAACTCCACATGCCAGACATCGCACGTACGCATGCATCCTAGACACACACCGCAGCAGCCGTGCTTTTCTCGGTGTGCACAGGTCGTTGCATCGAGCAGTACCTGGTGTCGTCGTTTGCCAGCTCCTCCGGCCCCGACCTCGCCAAGGTAGCCATGGCATACCGATCGCTCGTCGAAATCGAAGGTTCGCATAAATACACACAGGTACGACAGAGCTGAAAGTGTGTATGTGTGCAGAGTCCCGTTCGTCTCGTAACCAGACGTTGCCCATCTACAACGAGCTGC